CCCCCCCCCCCGTCTCACTCTCCATTCTCTGGATGTCAGCCAGACTGTGCTGGAACTTAGTTACGTGACTGTCTGTCCATTCTGTCCCATAAACATGCAATAAAATCAGTGCGACTCTGTGCTTTACCCACTTTTACCGGTGTAACTCACTCTCCCGTTGACTGGCTCCTGTCCAGTTTGAGGAGCAGTTAACTTCTTGGTTTATTAGATATGGGTGAATACTATGGGAATATGTGCTCAGTTGTGAATGAGAAGGTTTTTTTTTGTGACTAGAGGAGCAAAACCTATTTAAATCCAGGTATCGTTTTATGTTTATTTGTTGTTTCTAATCTGTCAAACTATTTAAGCCTGCAGCACATTATAGAAAATATTAATATTTGCAGTTGAATGATTTAAATGGCTGACTGTCCATGTTTTATAACAAATTAGATGTTGAATGATTATATTTTTAGAAAATGTATATATTGGGTATAATATCAGATGTTTTTATATCATTTAGTGCTCGTAATTATTTAAGATGATATAATGTTTTTAGTGATATCTAAAGGCTTTCATTTTTTTTTTTCACAAATGGAAAGTATGTTTTTTACAGCACTTGTGAACAACATACCTTTTTTGTTTTGGAGTTGATTCGGACTGGTCTTTATTAAAGCAAGGGAGGCTTGTGTGATGTTACCTGTCTGTCATCTGCCCGTGTGACATGCCACGTGTGTAAATGCTGCTTTACTTTACACATATAGATGGGTGGAGTAACGGAGAGCTTGTGAGCAGTGTATCAGGACGTCTGGCTATCAGAGCTCAAACTGCACAGTGGGAAAGGGGGGAAAAGAAGAGAAAGTAAAGGAACCAGGGCTACCTAAGACCACCTGGACCCTGCTGGCCCCCAGGGCTGTTTTTAGAGCAGTTTCCTGCTTCCGGATGTAAAATAATATCCAGGGCTGCAGGGGAAGGCGCTGCTCCTCAAACACGAGTCGCACGATAAGCGTGTCGGCCATGTGCTGCTTCTGGTTTTGTTCGTTCTGTTGACGTTTCCTTGTTCCTGCTGCTTTGGCTCTGATGGTCCCTTGTGTTTGGTCGCCAGAGGACCCTCACTGCCGTGTACCTGGTGTCCATGGATGCAGGGCCAGAGTCTCCGTAATTAGACCCCTGCTGACGGTCTATTTATGGACGGCTCCTCGCTTTGCACAGATCAGTTGAAGCTCCATTTGTAAATCATCAGTGCTTTTATTAATCTCTGCAGGGAAATATACCAGCCCCGGCTGCAGGTTCATTCGATGTAGTGACACCATGAGGGAAAAAAAACACCAACACTCCGCATCGGTGAGCATAGTGACGTCTGCCCATTTTTTATTTTTTTTGCATTGTTTTGGATTTCCGCATCATTCCCCTCCTTTGCTTTCAGACTGTTTGGTTTAGCAGACACTTTTATCCAAAGCAATGTACCTGTTTGCAAAACCAGGGTCAGACAATGCTTGGAGAATGTGGGGGCCTGACAACAAAATTGTACCTCTGACCTTGGGATCTGAACCGCCAACCTTCCAGTCATAGACGCGGAGGCTAAAGCTCACTGAGCCACACACCACCTGTATGATTCTGTGTACTTGTATCAGTTCTGTAAAAATCCACTGCTGATATTTCCCTGGTCAGACCCACATGAAGCTGTACCCCAGACACCCTACTGCCGCTCCTCTGTCTCCTCACAGGCCCATTTTTACAGTACATCTCTATGCCTCCCGTTGTGCTGCCTTCACAGGGCCATGGCCGCCACTCCAGCTGGCGAGTGCCGGGGGTGGGCATCTGCCCTCCGCGACTGCCGAGAAGCTGCCGTGCAAACACTCGGCTAGTGAATGTGGGCGTGTTGCTTCAAAGCTGGGCGCCGCCCCCTTTTGTGCACTGATCCTTTGAAACCGAGAAGGTGGGCGTAAAAGTGGAGGGGGGAGGGTCCTTGGTGAATATGTGAGAGTTCCGGCCTGATCCGTTTTGATGGCTGTCAAAACAAAGGATACCTATTGATCCGCGTGTCTGTCTTCATTTGCATCTGAGAGCCTGGCCGGCTTGCCTTTGTCAGGCAGGGGTTCAAAGTCTGCTGTCTGTCTCTGAGCCAAAGTAAACACGCCCTCCCTGGAATATAACCTATTGTTTTTTTATCATCTTATTAAAGAAGTCGTCGTACTGCAGGGCAGAGGCAGCCTTTGGGAGAGGACGTGGTGAACCCATGCGCACTAATTGGACCATGACTCATGTGCCCCAGTGTGTTAGATGTGAAACAGACAGTAGCTGAAATGTAAATGAACCTTCCTCTGCCGATTCCGAAAAAAAAGAGCACTTTTAATAGATGTTAAATCTCTGATCTTTTATCTTTTCAGGCTTAGGGGAAATAAAGCAGAACAATTAAGTTTTAAATAAAGTCTGTTATGTGGGGAAGTATCTCCTGGTTCATTGTTCCACGTTTCCTGCAGTAAACACACCAGGACCTCGCAGATCCACATGCTAAGCCGACCCAGAGCCCCGGACACGCGGCCCCCAGCCCGCAGCTCTGTCACGTGTCACCCTGGGTTTCTAATATTAGCTGTGGTTCCGTCTGCATGCAGATGTGTGAAGTCTAATCACGCCTCTGGTTTTCATAAGCAGCCGTGCAGCTTATCAGGTGACCTCCATTGTGCACTTAGGTCTGGGACACCACCCACCAGTACGTGTGAACCTGTCTGGCCACTGCTGCTCCTCCCACTGACCTGTGGAGAATTCGGCACAATCACAGTGACGCTGGGACAGGTCTGAAGGTGTGGGCCGCCTTTCTGGAACAATAACCGCCACGACAGCTGTCATTTGCGCAGTCAAGCTGCTACACAAAGTGAAATTCCGATTCTGAAGAAAACCATTGAGCTCAAAGCAAACACAGAAGTACTCTTATCACTATACATGTCCTCAAAGACAACACTCCTTTTCTATGTTCTGTCATGAGTTGAAATAACCCATTACACAATAGAGCAAGAATGATTTTTACCATTTTAAGCTGTACTTAAACACACACATTTTACTGCTGGTCTGCTAGGCACTACTGGTTACTATTGGGCAAGTAGATTCCTGATTTAAATTGGCATGTATTTATTATTTAAAACTATTCTCTGACACAGGAGTCAGACGCAGTAGTGCTAAATGATTCCCTGTAGCAGTGGACTGTTTTATCTACAGTTAAATTGAGGTTCATTTATTCATTCTTTTGCTTTCAGGCCAGTTAAAACAATATAGTCAAGAATGACAATGGGACCAGATGGGGACTCCGCTGGACAGACTGCAGCCTAAACCCACCATTTTCCAGGCTGTTGACACTCCCTGTCTGTGTGGTGTGAGCCTGGGGAGTTGTTATCCCTTCCGAAAGAGATGGTTCGCGATCCATCCCAGAAAGACGGCAAACACAAGACTGATAACCAGAGGCTTAGTTAATCGTCTACAATCAGGGTTCCCGACCCCTGGTCCGCGGTCAGTTTTCCACCAGGACGGAGTACCCTGTTTTATGGAAGGGCTGGTTAATTCCCAAAAATAAAGGCCTATATTCTCACGACCCCCGACGTTGAAGCGAACTGTACTCTTCAAAAACTGTAAACTCCTAAACTTATGAAATCGCCCATGTATTCGCCATATAGACCAGTCCGCGACCATTACAACATTGGGAACCACCGCTCAACGGACACTTAAGTACAGTGCACGATTTCGCTGTATAGTTTTGATGACCACGAGGTGGCGCCATTGCATTCGCAATCTTTGGTCAACACTGCAAGAGTAGTAATATACCCCGAAGTGCTTTGGACTTCTGAAACCTTTAAGCTACGTGTTACAATAATGTGCCAAAGAATTAGGTTTGGCACAAATAATCCTAATAATTACAGTCTCTCTCTAATTAGGAGTCTCTTTGTGGAATTCAACGAACAGACCTGAATTCTTCAAATACGTCTTTTTGATTTCGTAATGATGCCAGTAATGTTTAATTACTTGTGGATATTTCGTTTGATCTCACTTATTTACGTGCACTTCGTATGTTATGTTATTCTTTAAATTATTGACATAGGCCTAATTTGTCTTACACAATCGTCAATGTCAAAGAAATACCTTGAGGTGGACGTTAAATGCGTCTTACGTCATTATTCTTAGTAACATAATTCTGGGGCCGGGAGACTGTCGCAGTAATTAGAGAACGTATTCTGTTATATCGACTGCATGAAAAATACAGGGCTAGCGGTATGTTGGTTCATTTCTTAAGATGGAAGTATTGCATATTGTCTAAACAGTGGCGCGACTTTCACATCGAAACATGAATCGTGTCCTATCTTAGGCACATTTAATCCCATATGCGGCGTTTGTACGCTGCCTTTAAGGAACAAGACTTACAATCTCCTATATCAAATGCCTGTCCTGTTACGCATGTCCTGGGCATGTTTTATGTTATTCTCTTAAATTAAACACGTGCTATTCGTGCATCTGTCATTTCAATCGTGTATACTGGTGAATGCTGGAAATGCATTATTAACTAAAAATTCTTTACAAAATTTGCAAAACAACATTGACATACAGCACAAGTTGAAGTTTAATTAGCCAAAATCTAAAACCCGTCATGGTTATAGTGATGGAAAAGATTCGATTAGAAATTAGCAACAGCAACTAACATCCGCCTGAGGGAGGGAAAGTTGTAGTCCTTTCACTCGCCCACTGAGGCTCAATGCCGATGACCCCATATCCGCCCCCTCTGTTCGGGCTGAGAAGCTGAGAGTGTTTCATCTCAACAGGACCCAAGAGCAACCGCTCTGCGCCCCCTCCCCTCTCCTGCCCTATCCTCCCAGCCCCCACCCTCCAGATCGGACACTCGCAGTGCGATTTACATTACCACCGCAGCTCGAAGCGCAGGGCGGAGTACAGGACCTCGGGCGAACCGTCAGATCGCAGCCCATCGGGCTTGGGAGGGAGGACGGGGAGAAGATAAGGCAGAAAGAGCTTTTCCAGTCACGTGTGGTCAAGCCTTGCCTACAGGTCATAATTCCTGTCCTGCTACTTCTCGCTGTAAAAATTGAGCAATTTCACCATCGGTGATGAGCGATGTTCCATTCATTCAGAGGACTGTTGTATTTGACACGGACGTAGCAAAATCAGTGCCAAGGCCATTAGGTTAGCTTTTTAGGACTGCAGAATGAAATAATATTACACCTTTGGTCAATATTTTTCTAAGTATACACTTCAGGGCACAATATAGTTCTTGCGGTCTAGGAAAAACTTAATTGATGCATTTAAGCAAACCGTTTGGTCTTTTTAAGGTTTGCAGTTATATTTTATACAAGAACACTGTAAGTAATCAAAACTCATAAAACTATACCTTAAGTTTTACAATAAGAAAATGCGTGTTCCCTAAGTTATGGATATGATTCAACAATACTCTTTTTAATATAGGCCTCATTTCATATGCATGCCATTTTTAGGAATACATGTAGGCTTATATAAAAATACTTTATTTATATTTTCCAAGCAGTCCAGTCTTCTTTTCAGTGCAGTTTAATTGGCCTAATAATAACAGTATTACAACTTAAAATGCACCTTACAAAAACAAAATTTGTGGAAAACAAATCTCTTGGTGAAACCCATGTAAGCCTACAATTAATTGCAACTGCAATAAGAATTCATTATTTTTTGACAAACAAAAATTCTCACACTGAGCAGCACAGCAGATGGCCAGGCAAAGGTACCGTCATGACACGTCCCACCGGGAGAGATGGCGAGGATTGCATGTCAACCACACTACAGGCAAGATTGTTACTGTCTCACTAGGACGCCTAGACTCCGTGGCGAGAAAGCGCGATCATCACTGTAATACTTTGTAATGCACTACCTTATTAAAGAGTCTAGACCTTTTAGTTAAGTGGTTGCAATTTCGCCCACAGTGTGGAAGGTTGCGGTCCTTTCTTTCCTCTATCTCTAGCAAGTCACGTGACAGTTAATGGCTCAAACATCGTGTGGAACACTTGGTTGTTTTTCTTTTAAAAATTCCCATTAAAAATGATACATTGTTTCATGTCGTACATTGAATACGTCTAATCAGAACTACTTAGTCACGATACTATAACCATTGTTTATAATAATTTAATCACAATTTTATTTATAATTTGAAAACCATGCACCATATGAACGTGGAAACTGGACACTGCTTAATTAATTAACCAGTTTATTAACCAATGAGATGCATTTATCTAACAATATTGACAAAATGCACAGAATGACAAGTGAAAATCAGTAATTAACGCATAGCAAAGTTTAGCAAGGAGTTTACCAAGCGACATAGATTCCAAACAAATAGAGTTTACTCCTTAATTATATCTATAAAGAATACACAATAGGACTATTGTAGGTTTTTGTTTCGAAATGATTTCGGCTCATTATTTTCAGTAATATTGGCTTTTTACCCTTAAGCCCCTACTGGCGATTGCTTGATAAGTATGCATTTATAATTACGAATGATATATGCGTACATCTAATTTTGCAGATTTATTCTGAATAAGATTTTTAGACCCTGCTGCTTTTCCACGTGTTTCAAAAACATTTCTCTCTATCTCCACGCATTGCCTATAACAGGTCAACTATGGATTGCCCTGTTTAACATACCGGCACAACTAATTACATGGGGAGCCTGAAGGCGCTGGTTTTACTATTAGGGGCGAATATTTTGACCTCGATTTAAAAGCCCAAGAAAACCACAAAATCCACAGCGTAGGGAAATGCACATTTCAACCCGGTACAGTTGGAACACCGTCTTACACTTTGTTTTTCCTGTAGGCTCAATGGATGGTGGCTTACCTCGTCTCCATGGAGACACCCAACTTCTCCCATCGACGACGCCCCCCCCACCCCCACCCGATTGATCGACAGGAGCCCGAGCGGCCGAATGTGGAGCGCGCTGTTTCATTGTTCTCCCACCGTGACAGACTGCAGTTCCGATCGATACCATAACCCCCACCCATTGCCACCTCCTCTCCCCCCCGAACCCCACAATATCTCTCGTCTTTGAATCATCCTATTCAAAACTGGCGGTGACCGATTTTGAACTATGGTAAATTTAGAACAATAGGCGCGCGTGCACCAAGAAAGGTTTTTTTTTTTTTTACTGCATCCTTTTAATAATTCCCAGCTGTTATATATCTGCCATGTAACACTGATTTAGCTCTTTTTAATCCGATGAAATCTTGAACCTGAAAGCCTCCGCAATTCCAAATAAAACGAATATATGTAAGTTACGTCTTAAACTTGTTTGCGAACTTTATTCGTTTGTTAATGTTCCTTTTTAAATTGCGTCTATTGATAAGTTTTGCACATAGGTGAAGGGCATTTCTCTTACTAGGGCAAAAGGGCAGAGGAAACCTAATCCCCCTTTGTCCCTTGTGCACTTTAGTTTCAATATTTTCATCTCTGCCAGAATTGCGATGACTGCCTCGGGGCATGAGAAATACCTTAAGGGACGGCCACCTTTTGAATCCGACGCAGTGAGGCTCCATCCAGGACCCTTGGCTGGGGGGGTCCTTCGGGCGAGGTTTAAACGAGCTCCCCTCGGTCCGTTTTTTTCGCCTTTAAAATGTTAAACATTTGAATTACCTAACAGCGTGGCGACCTTCGGCTACATCTGTTCTCATGATATAGACTAAATGAGATAAATCGGCGTCGGTGCTCATTGCTTTGGCAGCGCAGCGGAGTCTACGTGGGAAAGTGCGGAGCGTGAGAAAGTGATGATTGGCAGCTAAGGACGGTGAAAACGGTCTTTACCTTAGTAGTTGCGTTAATTTCATATATTGACACTCATGTATAATTATTCACACAATGATCCTTTATAGTGAACGAGTATCATTTTCATATGCGTTTAAAGTTTTTTAAATGTAGAAAAACGGATACAAACTCCGTTTTCGTTAAAAAAAAAACACGAAATGCACGAAACAAAAAATACATTCATATGGGCGATTAGGCAGCACTTTATTTGCATTGTGCGTTATGCTAACGAAAGTCGCGCAGCTAAATACGGCTCCAACGACTTCAATACTTGAAAGCTGAACGCATAACATAATTCAGACCTCAAAATAACATTGACATACAGCACAAATGGAAGTTTAATTAGCCGACATGTAAAACCCCGTCATAGTTACACGATTTAGACGACGAGCAATAAATTCTTAAACAACATCAAGTAAACGAACTGTAAACCGAAAAGAAGAGTAAATGGGCGTGCAGGACAGGGGAGCTCTGGTGCAAACAGCAACCGCTTCCAAACAGTTTATAGATGAATATTCCTAAGAATCTTATGTATTAGGTCTATATGTTGTCTATTAAAAAATATAAAAATTCGGAGAGCCGTTGACACTTGAGTCTGTATATATGCGGCTCATCCGATTCCTCCCCTACGGTCCAACTAAGCTAAGGAACGCGACAAAAACATATAGGCCTCAATATGGGGTATCGATCGACGCCCATCACTCCAGGAAAAAATGTCGGTTCAGGGGCAACACAATTCCGACTGGACACTGCGATCGATACCACGCT